GGTGGGGACATTTAAACTGAGATGAGGAGGAGCCAGCCCTGAGAACAGGGGAGGGAAGCAGTAGGGAAAACATGGGGTTTTGAGGTCAGACTTAGGCTTAACTCCCAGCTCTCTGGTGCTGGCTTTGACCTTGGCCACGTTCCTTTCCTCTCTGAAACTCCATTTCCTCACCTGTAACGTAGGGGAGCTGGACTGGATGCCTTCAAATGGGGATGTGAACCCCTCCCTTTGCAACTGCTGGGGGCAGAGGCACTGAAAGGGCGCCCCCTGGGGCCTGGCTCATGGTCGCAGTCCCACCGATAGTAGTGCTGGCTATTCTCAAGTCACTCTCACTTGGCTTCCAGAGCTCACTGATCACATGGTCCATATGCTCTGCAGCTATGTCTGAGGACAGGGACAAGGTTCCCTGAGCTGAAGTCCTGGGGCCCAGGGACCTCAAAGAAGGAAAGCATCTGTTGTCCAGCTGCCTTCCCCCTAGATAGGCTCCACTGGGGCCAGGTCAGAGCAGAACTGTCAGGCCCAGCCCAGGGGTGCCCAGATGCGCAGCTGCATGAAATTGTACATCCAGGTCACGGAAGGGTGCCCACTCCTTAGCAAACAGTCTCAGAAGCCCCCCTAGTTCTGCTCCAGCCCCTCTTTCCATCCTCTCCTATGCCTGCTTGGAGTCAGGTCAGTTCAACACATTTTCTGAGCATCTCCCGTGTGTGGAGCCTTGTGTTAGGGGCTGGGCAGTGGGGTGCCTCAGTACAGGGAAGTGGGAGCCCCCACACACACACTGTAGCAGGGACTGGGCTGGGGAAAGCACAGATATGAGTAACATCAGTATCTGTGAGGAATCCAGCCCTGACACTTGCCAGCCTGTTACCTTGGGCAAGTCACTTCTCCCTGTGCCTCTGTTTCCTCTTGTAACCTGGGGGTAGCAGTACCTCGCTGTGGCTTCATTGCGAGGATTTGATAGGAGGAATGTAGGTAAATATGCCTGGTGCTTAGTGGGTAGTCAGGGGCTAGTTCCTTTCCTTTTCCCACCGTATAGATGAGAGAGGTTTCAGGGTATTATAGGGAGATGGACAAAGTGCTGAAGGTGAGGAAGAGACTTAGCCCCACTGGAGAATCTAAGGGACATGGTTTCTGTCAGCCAGCATCATTTGCCCAGATTCTGGTAATGGTATTCAGTTTATGTTTGGGGAACCTCCCCCCTACTCTCAGTGCCTGGATGGAACTATTTGGAAAGAGTCAGTATTTTCCAGGCTGTCAGGATGCAAACTTGGCACCATTTTTGCCAACACTTGGACCACCGTGGAGGACAGAAGTGCAATGATGATAGAGAAGGAGAGATAACTGATTTCATTAATTCAGCTGCTGGATCCAGCCATGCCTGAAAGCCTCCCCTGGATGTCTGGAGCCAATGCATTTTGTTTTCTTGCTTTTTCTTTTTTAAGATTGTATTGGGGGAATTGGGGGGAGGGAACAGCATTGGGGTATCAGGGAAGGGGAACAGACAAGTTGCTGTCCTTTGGTTCTTCAGTCTAGTTGTGTAGGACGTCACTTCACTGGCCCATGTTGGTATTATTGCGCTCTTCCCAGGTGAGGCAGATTGGTTGCCGGCCTCTGGACTGCCGTTCACGGCGGCTCACACTGGCTGCCAGCCGCTCATGGTAGCTCACGGCAGCCCACTGCAGCCCCACCGCAGCCTATGTGGTCGCAGGTGACTCACGGCAGCCCAGCTCCCGGTTGAGCTGTTGTTCACC